ATATTGATGTATAGGTGGTAGCAGTGGACTATCTTGCTACTAATTGTAACTATATTGATGTATAGGTGGTAGCAGTGGACTATCTTGCTACTAATTGTAACTATATTGATGTATAGGTGGTAGCAGTGGACTATCTTGCTACTAATTGTAACTATATTGATGTATAGGTGGTAGCAGTGGACTATCTTGCTACTAATTGTAACTATATTGATGTATAGGTGGTAGCAGTGGACTATCTTGCTACTAATTGTAACTATATTGATGTATAGGTGGTAGCAGTGGACTATCTTGCTACTAATTGTAACTATATTGATGTATAGGTGGTAGCAGTGGACTATCTTGCTACTAATTGTAACTATATTGATGTATAGGTGGTAGCAGTGGACTATCTTGCTACTAATTGTAACTATATTGATGTATAGGTGGTAGCAGTGGACTATCTTGCTACTAATTGTAACTATATTGATGTATAGGTGGTAGCAGTGGACTATCTTGCTACTAATTGTAACTATATTGATGTATAGGTGGTAGCAGTGGACTATCTTGCTACTAATTGTAACTATATTGATGTATAGGTGGTAGCAGTGGACTATCTTGCTACTAATTGTAACTATATTGATGTATAGGTGGTAGCAGTGGACTATCTTGCTACTAATTGTAACTATATTGATGTATAGGTGGTAGCAGTGGACTATCTTGCTACTAATTGTAACTATATTGATGTATAGGTGGTAGCAGTGGACTATCTTGCTACTAATTGTAACTATATTGATGTATAGGTGGTAGCAGTGGACTATCTGGTGGTGCAAAGGCTGGTATTGGCATCGTTGTTATACTAGTCGTAGCTAGTGGTCTACTACTTGGAATATGGTGGATTCGAAAGAAACGATCCGCAAGCTTAGGACTCTTGAGACATCAGGAGTTCGATAACCCCATACACTTCTCATCCAAAGCTTACGATATGGATGACCCTTTGCCTATCCCCCCTGATTAACAGCAGTCCATTCATTATATGACATCTTCCTTTGATTCGATAGTATAAACAGCTAAACATGTAGCCTGTATTTTTTGTGTACTATGTGATTCCGTAAAGACTAWATAACAACTGATAATCGACAAGTTTTCAAGTCTATCATAACTTGCGAATAACGAATCAAYTTTTTTTGTGAGAGTCTTYCATAGTTAGCAGGGCCCAATATAAAGTGATAAACAAAAYCAACAATTTTATTTCGATTTTTATGTATTTGTTGGTCAATTGGACTGCATTTTCGGTGTTCAGAAGCAAGAAGAGCTGTGCATACACTGARTAAAGGTATAAATTCTGTGATTTGGMAAACTTTCTTCGTCTAAATAACAATATATAAGTTGGCTATACTTTACAGATATTCGATATTTCTTCAATAAATTGCATGTATTTTAGTACTGATATGTCGTGGTTGATTTTTTGTGAGTTCATTTACTTTTCAAAACATTGACAAGAGTTTCAAATCAAAGCGCCAGAAGCCATTCGTCCCAATAAGCTTTAAAACTACAGAGGTGATCTTGTGTAACTGTCAGTGCAGTCGTACCAAAAGATCTCTTATCCCCAAAAGTTAACTAGAAATGCAATAAACTACTATAAGCATGACTGATTTGATAGGTTGACTCTAGAACCCAATAGTCTCCTTCACGGTTACCTGCGCCATCTTGAAAGGTAGCCGTGCCTTTGCATCGAAGCGAGACAACCGTTGAGCGTGCAATTATAGAAACCTGTGAAGAATTGTCTGTAGGTGTGAAAGAAGGTTTCTATCGTTGCATGCTCAACGGTCGTCTCGCTTCAATGCAAAGGCACGGCTACCTTTCAAGATGGCGCAGGTAACCTTGAAGGAGACTATTAGGAGTCCCAATCGACGAGAATGGTTGGATGGTTCCGATCTCGTTCGGAGTACGAACAATGAAAACCTATCAATGTGACTTGTGAGTAGTTTTGTGTGAGGCACAGCTAAAGCCTACACCTTATAACTATTAACATCTTGTAGCTAACTTATAGTTTATAAACTGATATTAAAATTCCTTATTAGATGATTACTTAAAGTTCACTAATATCAGGAGGCCATTACTAGGAGCCTTCCTCTTCCCATTGGCTTGTGGAACGGCATTTACCCCTCTTGGTGCTATTTTTCGATTTTCCCGCCATTCCCCGCGCGCTTATTGAGATGCCGAGTTGTGATCGAACAGCCGCCGGCCGCCGCTATCAGGTGTTTTTAGATTGAATTTTAAGTTGTACAAGTGAAGAAATTTTCGCTTTTACAAAAACTATTTTGTAACAAAGCTTAAATGGCACCATTAACTATTATATTTAAATGTGTAAAGATAGTGAAAAGGTATAAAAAATAAGCGAAAAAGCTCATACATGAAAGAATCGACATTTCTGGTTTCTTTTACCGACGAATCTGATCAAAAAGCATGACAGTGAACACAAAATAATCTATTCTTATAATGAGTTCTTCATCTAAAAAATGTGACATCACAAATGTAAAAATTAGCATTTAATAAATTTGTTTGTGACAGTTTTGTACAATATTTTGCATCTAAACAAAAACTCTTCACAAATGAAGTTACCANGTTTTACTACTCTGAGCATGCTCACTACTTTCAAGGAGTTTCTGAAAGGCAGTTCTTCCCCAGTTTCTTGAAGAGCAGTACTTCCCATATGGTTCTCAGTAATCCAAAATATTAGTATATAAATCAAGCCGAATGTAGAATTGTACGATGAAGCACTGTATAGTAGGCCCAAAGGATATGACGTTGTAGACTTATAGATGTCATAAATATCATGTGATGTAATGAATTATTTACGGACTGGTGTAATTATTYCAACTTCCGGTGGCCAAACGCGACATGACACACACATAGACAAAAAGGTAAAACTAAAGTCGGGCCCCCTTCGGGTAGCCCGACTAAATAGTCCCATGTGGATTCATCTTCATTATTCACACTCTCGGAACGGACACTCTTAGTTTGGGCCTAATCATGAGTGGAGGCCGAAGCTGTCCAATAGCTGCCCGAACAAGCTGAATAAGGCATTTCGACTAAAACAAGAAGAGAATATCAACAATGTAGCTCAAAATTCTTTTCAAGGAAAAAAAATAGAATATACAAGAACAGTTATTTATAGGAAAACAGACCCCGTCGGCTCCTCCCAGTCCTCCTGATCGTTGTTATTGCCATTATCATGATTGAAATGTTAGTGTGTACAGTACAAAGTAAGCAATTAAAGAACAATGAAAGTTATTAAATGAACGATTCTTTCTGTTTTTAGTACGGTCTGTGTCACACATTCAATTCAGGACAGCCTGGTCACCCTCTTCTCTATGCTACTTCTCCAGAACGAAATCGCGGACTTGTTCTACATCTAAATCCCGAAGCTTCCGAGCGTTATGGGATGACAAGCTACTTTGATTTTGGTATACGAGTGATGGACCACGATCAACACGACGAACCGATGATAGAGAATGAGGGGATTACTGCTATGGCCAATCACATGACAATTATCACTATCCAGAGAATGGAGGTAGGCACTTCCACAATAAAGATAAAAAACAGTTTTAATACGGATCTATTCCCATTTCCCATTTAGTTTGAGAAGGTCCGAGCATGACCATGGAATGGGCATCTTTTGTTCCTATAAATGTCTGTCCGATCGATATCGAAATAAGTATAGTCCAACCTAAAACAAATTGCATCAGTACACATTCCAACGCGGGGTTTCACTCGAGAATTTTCATATGATTGTCATGCTAAGTAGTTTATATGGTGAACTCGTCAGATGATGATGTTATAGATGAATGTTGGTGGTTTCATCGTCATATCATTTCGAAAGTAAAAATGTTCGCTTAATTCATTTTTGTTTACATAGTACATCGAATGATTCGTACTGTTTTCGAATAGACATTTACACAGAAACAAGGATTCAAACAAGGAGACTCATTGATTGCCTCATTGTATATGAGAAAAGTGCGAGTTTCTAGTAAAAAGTGGTATACCATGGGCCATTCTGTCGTCCCAGAATGCGACTAGTACTACACGTAAGATCTTTTTCAAAAGTAGCATTGCATATTATATCATCTCTAAGGGAAAATTGCGTTATAATATTGATTTTTGAAAAACAAAATTCATGTTATGATCAGAACATGTCACATATGAATTAGACTGCACATGTTAATTAAACTGTCATAGAAAGCAATCAGTTCTTTCTATTTTGTAATCCTTCATTACTGTGTATTCCAAGAAACTAATTGATCTGAGATGTGAATGATAAAGATTTGTCATAGAGACAGCATCAAAACAGAGGTACGTAGTAATCACTGCTCGTTTGATGTCCAACAAAAGGATATCTAAAAATATAGAGCTTTAAATACAAATAATAACCTCAACAACACCAGCAGCAGCAAAACAGATCAAAATAAATGAACACGCACATACATTTGGAGATTATCCTGCCGGGCATAAAAAGCTGTGTGTCTCGTAATGGTTTGTTGTAGGACCTTCTCCACAGGGAGCAAAAACCTAATATCACCAGTGCGAAATTTTTTTTTCTTTGTAACGTAACGCTGCTTGTGATCAACAATCAAATCACGAAAGAACATTCATCACATAAAAATTACAGCANATGGCACCATTAACTATTATATTTAAATGTCTAAAGATAGTGAAAAGGTATAAAAAATAAGCGAAAAAGCTCATACATGAAAGAATCGACATTTCTGGTTTCTTTTACCGACGAATCTGATCAAAAAGCATGACAGTGAACACAAAATAATCTATTCTTATTATGAGTTCTTCATCTAAGAAATGTGACATCACAAATGTAAAAATTAGCATTTAATAAATTTGTTTGTGACAATTTTGTACAATATTTTGCATCTAAACAAAAACTCTTTACAAATGAAGTTACCACGGAATTTCGGCGCATTTTTTCTTGAACGGCCGATAATCAGTCCTCTAAAATGTTGTTGTTTTATGGTCATATAAATTAGTCAACCCAAAAAGAGTTCCATTCAATGTCCATTTACATGTAAAAATTTGCAATTAATGTTCAGTTTGCTCAAGTTTGCTCAAGTTCCTGTGGAGGAATATGGCCATAAAGTAAAAGGTATGATATACAGTTGTTCATGGAATGGTGCGAGCTGTGGCCATCTCAACTTTACAACAAGATTTTCATATCTAAGCCATAGCTTTGTTTGGGTGCAGACCTTTTCAACATTTGTTTCAACATTCGTTCAGCTTTTATAACACATTTCAAAATAGGAGGATCCAAATGTATAGAATTTTTATTACACCTTTCAACATTGATATTTGCAGGATGTTTATACAGAGCATTTTTCTTGATAAATTCTGCACCCAAGCACACCCAGATAACCAGGCTGCCAATTGCCACGCAAGTGTTTTAATAGTACTTTAGGACAAAAATGTGTATACAAGTGGGACGTTGTAAGACATAAACAGGCTACGTTTGATAAAAGAAAAAAATAAATAAAAGAAGGAAAATTATCGACTTCACGCAAAATCGTGCATTATTATTGGTGATCTATCTTGTTTGAGGCTAATAGTGTAGAAGAGATCGCTAAAATGTTGTTTTATTTTTTTTAATTTAAATTGTAAACAAACATATTAACCTATTGGAATCGTATAAATTAATTATTTTTGGGAAGATGATAAACCTCATTTCCCATTTGCATTGCAGCGATAAATGTTATCTGGTAATTTCCGTGTTGGGTAGTATAATCTGCTTGCAAGTTGGTGAAAGTGCTCAGATGTTCACGGATGTCTAACAATGCATTGGAAAGAAATAATTATATCGTTAAAAAGTTACATGGAATGAATATGCCTATTTCACAAGAAAGGTTGTCGGAAAAAATATGGCGAATGGGAATTTCCAACGTCAATTGCACGACCAAGAGGAGCCATGGGGTTTGCTAATTCATGGGACATAATAACTAATTTAAACTGTGAAGAAGCCTGTGGTAATCATCGGATCCAGTTAGCCTCCATTTTCCGAATAAGCAAAAAGTAGTTTTAAAAATTGTGTAAGAGTTAAAGTCATAGTCCCATGCCCAATTGTCATACAATTGGCAACGATGATCATAGGCTACCCAACTATTGCTTGAGAGAAAGAAAAGAATGCATGCGCACGCTTTTATATTATGTTATCGAATCGGCGTGCGCTGTGGGTTACCTGTGGTATTACGTCACTATCGCGCGCCTCGCGGGATACAAACTAGTCTGTGACAAGGTATGAAACACTGGTCACGTGATGGACCGATGTGTGCACCAGGTATCGTGTCCTCCCCTCCCTACCTTTTTTCATTCGTGAAGACTTCGCGACCCATCGTAAACGATCGTAAATAATCGTGAGTTTCTCGAGGCGAAAAAAAATGTCAAGGATAAAGCTTTAAAATTCAATTTTCTTCAAAAAAAGGAAAAGAAACATACAGACAAGAAGCAAAATTAACAAAAAAACAAAACAATATGAAAAGTTTTCGAGGTTTTCTAGTTTCAAACGACTATATTAGCTATATTTAAGCTTAATTGACTTTTCCATTTTGATAGTAAAACAATGAAAAGCTTTATAACAAAAACAAAGCTTTATTATCTCTAAGTACAAGAAATAGACATATTTTGANAAGTTGTACTTTCTACAGGAACATCTCGTGGTGGCGCATTTTCCTTTACAACTGCATTTGATGAGCTCTAGCACAGCTGTAGGTGCAGGAAGAAGGCTTGATGCGATTGGTTGCAATTCATTGCCATTTTTACGCCAGCCATGAGACGTCGGAGATGGGAAAATTGGGGAAGCAATGGTACAAGATTTCCAAATCAGCGCAACGCAGTTACTTCTCTTGATTATCTCTTTCAATGCCCCTCAGTTGTGTTGGTAGTAACTTCTCTGATAGAGAATGTGGAAAGTGAAAAGTGCTAGTTTCTAGTAAAAAGTGGTATACCATGGGCCATTCTGTCGTCCCAGAATGCGACTAGTACTACACGTAAGATCTTTTTCAAAAGTTGCATTGCATATTATATCATCTCTAAGGGAAAATTGCGTTTTAATATTGATTTCTGAAAAACAAAATTCATGTTATGATCCGAACATGTCACATATGAATTAGACTGCACATGTTAATTAAACTGTCATAGAAAGCAATCAGTTCTTTCTATTTTGTAATCCTTCATTACTGTGTATTCCAAGAAACTAATTGATCTGAGATGTGAATGATAAAGATTTGTCATAGAGACAGCATCAAAACAGAGGTACGTAGTAATCACTGCTCGTTTGATGTCCAACAAAAGGATATCTAAAAATATAGAGCTTTAAATACAAATAATAACCTCAACAACAYCAGCAGCAGCAAAACAGATCAAAATAAATGAACACGCACATACATTTGGAGATTATCCTGCCGGGCATAAAAAGCTGTGTGTCTCGTAATGGTTTGTTGTAGGGCCTTCTCCACAGGGAGCAAAAAACCTAATATCACCAGTCCGCATTTTTTTTTCTTTGTAACGTAACGCTGCTTGTGATCAACAATCAAAATCACGAAAGAACATTCATCACATAAAAGCTACAGCATGTACATGTACAGGTAAGTCACAATCTGTCTTAAAAAATAAAGCTACTTTGGAGGTCAAGTATGTGATATTCGTTGCGATGTCAAAACTGAAGGACCTCTAGTCAATTTTATAGGATTTGAAAATATGAAAAGGAAGTTTTGAACAAAATAAAACYAATATTAAGGTTTGTTAATTTATTTTTGAGAAACATGATTATAAAAGTAGCTGTCAAAATTAGATCCATTTGAAAAGACTGTTCAAATAAGCAGGTGAATTGCATTTTTATCAGTGTCATGGTAACTGATTACATWTTATGAAAAAAGGGCTTTCATCAAAGAGAAGTTCAAGAATATATCTTAACACATCCCTTAACAAATTATAAGATGAATCTGAAGCAGCATTTAAAAGAATTTTCTGGCTAYACTACGTTACATGGTCTTCACTTTGTCTTTGGATCTGGCGGTGCAGTTCGTCGGCTTGTCTGGTTTGTCTTAGTCCTCGCTGGTTTTGGGTTTTGCACCAAGCAATTGATTGCAAGCTTTCTTATGCTCCAGGCCCATGAAGATGTTATCAGTAAAACTGTCATTCCTTCAAGAMAACTCACCTTTCCTGCAGTCACCATATGCAAYATAAACATGATGAAGAAGTCCTTAATTAAGGGCAAAGATGCACAAGTCTATRTTGACAACCTGGATGTACTTTTTAAGCGAAAGAAAACATTGAACAGTACTTTTGACATTCAAAAGGCTGTGGAGGAATATGGTCATCAAGCACAAGATATGGTAATCGCCTGTGTATGGAATGGCAAAAAATGCAGTCATCTCAACTTCACGACAAGATATTCATATCTGGTAAGCATTAAAATTGCAATTTAAATGCTTGAATGCTCTTATCGATACAAGTTTTTATATTGTGACAAAGTTGTTGCAGTGCAAGTTGTTGCCGTGTTGTTGCTGATAAATTAATTGTCACTTTAACATTGTCCTCTGTCGTTACTAGATATTTGACAGTTTTTATTCCAAGGTTTTCCTGTCTAGAAGTTATTTTTTCTTGTTTAGACTATGTTATATATCGATTATGTGTTGCTTTGTTTTTAGCTGACAAATGAGCAACAAAGACTGCAGGTCGCCGTTTGACTATTTTTGAGCAAATACCGAAAAAACGTTTTCGAAAAAAAAATGAATAGATAATTTGTTCTGTTGATCATTACCAGAAAGCGTTGAATATGTTGGCAGGATCGATGGAAACGGATTCGTCAGAATAAGGAAGTCTACAATCTAAAAACATCATTATGAAATCAGTTACCATTTGACAAATATTTCTGGTTAAACGAGCATGTTAAGGATATTTTAAAATGGCTGCATTTTCAGCCTCTCCGTAAATGTACCAAATTTACACATTTGACCTCATTGCCTTTAATGTMTGTGATTTTGCATTGTAAAATAGTAAAAGCCAAATAAGGCTGAACAGCATGCTCTGAGAAAATATTAAAGCTTTTAATAAACGATATCTCCAATCTTAGTGAGAAGGTCGGCGGGGGTGAAAACCTTATTCAGAGCAAGAAAAACATRAAATATGAACAGCTAAATAAACAAAATATAATTAAAATGAAAAATAAAATGAGATAAAAAATACTATTGAGATGCTGGATTTCAAGTGCAACTGTGAAGGGGGTCGAAAAGGCTTCAACGATTTCTACTCAAATGGACTTCTTTATTCTAGTTGTTATAACAACGCCGACCTATCATTGAGAAATTAATAATTGTTTTATAACAGATTACTGTCTGTTTACCGTATACAGCACTCGACTATATTGTATTCTACTGATCGGATGTTGTCATTATGAAATTCATTATTATTGGTGGTTCTTTGAAACCGAGCAATACGCAGTCATGACTGCAATAATATATTGTTTTCATAAAGTTAGATGATTGAACGACTCTTTACTTTTTATGAATACGAGGACCGCATGGGTTATGGGTCACTCTCCCGGAATTGTCTTCTCCTAATCACTATAACGTTCTTTCATTTCTATATCGTCTTACTTTTTAGTATGGTCTTTGCCACACGTTCAATTCAGGACAGCCTGGTCACCCACTTCTTTTAGCAACCTCTTCAAAACGCAATCGTGGTCTGAGTCTTTTTATCACGACCCAAATCGATGAATATCATGGGAAGACAGGCTACCTCAATAGTGGTATACGAGTGATGATTCACGRTCAACACGAAGAACCAATGATAGAGGATGATGGGATTGATGTGAYGAACGACTACAAGACAAGTATTAAAATCCAAAAATTAGAAGTAAGTGKGGACTATGAGCTTGAATACAGCTGCTAACTTCAAACACTAATAATAAGCCATTAAATAAAAAGCATGGTCATTATAATAAGAGCATTCACTTTTGTGATTTAAAAATTTACACAGGGCAATTAACAAGGTGACAATGTTGCTCGTGTTTTTGAAGCGATTTTTATTGGCTACTATAAATAGAATGAGCATTCAGTTTTTTGAACAGCAGATTTTCTTTCGCAGAGGCCTTACCACAACAATAAAACAAAACAAAAAACAAAACAAAAACAAACAAACACAAAAACAAAACAAAAAAGACAAAACACTAGAAAATGTTGTAGCTAAAACAAAAAATTTGCGTTTTCCCCGAGTTGAGGCTAACCCTACGTGTATTTCCAAAAGACTTGAGAAATACAGGGTCAGTCTCAGTTGGGGAAAAGTGTAATGCTGCAGGCTATCTGTGATAACACGACATTAATTCGCCCATTCTTTTGTGKTTGGTAAGGTTATTCGCTTTAAATTCGAAAATGGAGTATTAACAACTGCTTGGAGTTTAGCAAGAGTTCAAAATAACCGATATTTCGTGTTTTCCCCTTCACATCGAGCGAGTCTGAGTCTGAGGGTAGAGTCCCACTAGCGCCCCTCATTTTTTCTCTCACTCACCGACTTGCTATCATCATTTAGTGTTGCATCCCCGAGGKGTACTCCCCTATACGGGGGCGTGGCGCCAACCACACTGGAAAAATTCGCGCGCCATAAAGTTTGTAAATTTGATGGAAATATGATGTAAGTGTCCAAAATGATGGAAATTTGATGGAAATGATTYACATCAAATTTACATCATTTTGGACATTTACATCATATATACATCAAATTTACAACCTTTAAGGCGCGCGATTTTTTCCAGTGCCAGGGTATCGTTTTCAGCGATTTTACTCTGAAACAGGGTATAGTTTTTAACCATTTAACTCTGGAACAGAGTCAGGGCTTTGAGATCCCAGCGGCACACCCCCACCCAAGTTGGGGGGAGTACTCCCCCCCAGGGGGACTACATCTTTCATTAACGCTACTATTTCTGTTGTCCCACTTGCAAAGAATGCCTGATGAGAACCAAATGTTCATGCCAGGGGATGCACTCGAGGTCCAGTAATATAATTCCGAGAATTTATGATTTCCTCTTTCATTCTCTTTGGCGCTTCTTTTGATAGTACAATAGTCTCAAGTACCCTTACCAAGCAGCMTGTGGCAGCAAAAAACTCAAGACTTCCAAGCTTTACTCACAAAAAACCTGCCTGTTGGAATGTAAAACCAATAAAGTAGTTCAGCAATGTGGCTGCAGACTGCTAGGAATGCCAAACCTGACAGGTACACCTAAGACACTTTTGGGCGGTATTTACAACTCAAATGAACAACGTGAATAAAACGGGATTCCACGGGAAATTCACAATTTCAATTGCATGATTAAGTGCACAGACTTCGAAAACACTTACGATDAATTACTGAATTGAATTCCCTCTCCATGGTCGTGCATTTTATGATTCATTGATGTTTTACAGAATCAAGATACTGCAGACCAGAGCAAATGATGRAGTGCGGAATACACGCTGAGATAAACTACAGCAACGTTGTAGAACCAAACTATCACGATGCACTTTTAGATTTTGGTGAGTGGTATACAAATTTATATACTCGTTCATTATAGTCGCAGATAAAATTCCGTTGTACAGATAGGCAATTTGTAGGACTTTTACCACGTGGTTGGTAACTTACCCTTGAATAACAGCAACAACAACAACAACAGCAACAACAACAACGCAACAACAACAAAATTGCCTTCTAAAACATGATCTAACGGTCCGGTAGGATTAAATCCGGTTTTTTTTTTTCGATCATCCGCCTATAAAATTGCAGTGTATTTTTCTATTATTATTTCATTTTTCTTACTTTTGAGACCAAAATTATATCATGGAACAAATTCTCAATTTGTAAATGTTGATGCCCTAAAATAGACTGASGGATAGCTGGACGTACCATTTTCAGTTTTGACCCGTTTTCGGCACAAATATAATTCATGAAGGTGAACGTGATGGTGATAGTGATAGTGAGTCTTCCTATGAGTTGGAAGAAAAAAACATTTCTGGCAAAGAGGCATTAAACTACTATTAATGCATGTCTTTGTTTGATTTTCCAGGTTATAATCTCCCTTCCGTCACTTCTTTGGACTGTGGCTGCCCTAGACCTTGCAAGGAGATAACATACTCTAAAAGGGTTGACATAACCAACTTTTTATCTGAGCTATTCATTAAAATGATTTTTGAGTTTCAGCAGAACAGCAACGACACAAAACAACAGAAATCGAATTCGATGGACAAGAATGTTCAACAAGAACAATACAGACGCAACATGTAAGAGTAAATCATCGCGAATAGCAGGTTATAGTAGGGTATAGCAGGGTATAGTAGGGTATAGTAGGGTATAGCAGGGCATAGTAGGGTATAGCAGGTTATAGTAGGGTATAGAAGGTTATAGCAGGTTATAGTGGGGTATAGCAGGTTATAGCAGGTTTTAGTAGGGTATAGCAGGTTATAGTAGGGTATAGCAGGTTATAGCAGGTTATAGTGGGGTATAGCAGGTTATAGCAGGTTATAGTAGCGTATACCAGGGTATAGTAGGGTATAGCAGGTTATAGCAGGTTATAGTGGGGTATAGCAGGCTATAGTAGCGTATAGCAGAATATAGCAGGTTATAGTAGGGTATAGCAGGTTTTAGTAGGTTATAGCAGGTTATAGTGGGGTATAGTAGGTTATAGCAGGTTTTAGTAGGTTATAGCAGGTTATAGTAGGGTATAGCAGGGTATAGCAGGTTATAGTAGCGTATAGCAGGGTGTAGTAGGATATAGTAGATTATAGCAGGTTATAGCAGGTTAGTTGAATTATGATAAGATCTAAATACTTGTACATACAACGAATTACGCAGAGGAGCATTATACAAAAGAAAATTTGAAAAAAAATATTATAGTTCCCAATAGCAAGGGAAAGCACTGTAATCCAATTATAAGTTGAATAGCATATTTTTTTCTTAGGAGAGAGAATTTATGCCTGAACATTTACTATGAGGACTTAAACACTTACGTGACGACAGAAAGACCTTCCTATGATATCAACATGTTTGGAGGTAAGTTGTCATGCCCAAGCCCAACCGCGTCTAACTCTCCGCGGTCATTGCGGACAYGAGCCGTCTTCCAACATGGCTGCCGCATACATTCTTTACAAMATAATATGCATATTCAATCGCAAATGATTCAGTAACTAGAAGCTGTTCAGAACTCTGATC